TGCCGTGGGCTGTGGATTAGAGGCTGGGATCTCGGCTATGAGGCATGTGTCTCTGATATAGATGTTCTGGTATTGGCGCGAGAGGGACTGCCTTATGACTGTATTAATGGTAACGGAAAGAACGACCTACCCTCTCATAACACTTTTGCGATGGTCTTTGGCGGGCCGCATTTGTGCTAAGTCGGTACTCAGGTGAAACTACTAGTCAGTGCTTCTATTTGAGTCCAGAGAGTTGCCACATAAACAGAAGTATTTTAAAATAGGTTGCTGACTCTCGTCAATGTCTGTCTTCATTGCGTCGATACTGAAGAACAGATGGATGGCCAAAAAGAACTAAAAACGAACCAATCTAGAACCTATTGCTCAACAAATGTGATGAATAAAGTAGAGATGGATTGGTGGACCACACACACTGAGAGGAGACCGTTGAATATGACAACGATGAGTTGGGCGTTGGTCCAAGGATGACATGGAGGAAGATCGCGTGAGGAGGAGGAGGAGGAGATGAAAGCTTATGGGTGGTCATGAGTCCAGCCAAATAAGACTGTAGAGAACAGAGTGAGGATGTGCTGTTGTGAAGCCATTTGTTCCACTCGGAACCCGAGGGAATAATGGGTGATCAACTAAAGCATTTGTTGAGGGTAGCACTATATCACGAGTTGACGAAGGCTAGAATTCATGGATTATTAGATCTTGACTCGAGTGACTGAATGGCCGACAACCTTTGGTATTCGCTTCATGATGGGGTCGTTGTGGGTGTGCATTACTGAAGAGTCATGGCCTGGGACGAAACATCCATCTTACTGCCTCCTGGCTTTCAATTATCTCTCTAACCGATATTGGATCTCTGCGAAATCTATATTGAAATAACTAGAAAAGATAGTTTTCTTTCATGAATAAGGGATAAATAATATTTTGTTCGTCTTACAAACCAAACTATAGAAAATTAATCTGATGCTCGCTAGTGACTTGCTACAGGATGGAGTTTCCTGGAGTTCTAGTGAGAAGTCGTGACCAGTGAGGCCCGATTAGATGTCACGTGTGTGGATGGATGTCCCACTAACGACAATGGTTGGGGTCGCGCTAAATCACGAATTGGTAGAAGTTAGAATTCATGAGCCATTGAATCGGGTCCCAGTGACTGAATGGTATACGAGCTTGCCTTGTAACCGGAAGGTCCTGGGTTCGAACCTTGGTGGTGGGTGCGTACTGCCGATGATTCCCAAACTAGGATGAAACGCAGCTGTCCAGTACTCCCTGGTTTTCAATGGTTCTCTAACTGATATCAATCCGTGATCAACTCGTAAAAACATAACTAACCCTTACAAACCAAACTATAGAAAATTACTAAATATGCTACAAGAATGACTTCAGGTGGTTATATTGTTTTAAGTTCCCTTCACAGGTGGTATTCTTTGAATATTGTTAATGATTAGAGTAACACTGAAAACAGCAGAAAATATCAAGTATTGTGATTCAAGAAAGCATTTCTCTTGATTTTGTTATCTGTAAAACATTGGGCTACATTTGACTTAAATGAAATACATATAAGTTTGATCATGGGTTTATATCAGTTAACGAACCACCAGTGAAAACCAGCAGGGAGTACTAGACAGCTGGCTGTTTTATTCCAGTTTGAAAGCCATCGGAAGTACGAACCTACTGACAGGGTTCGAAGCCAGGACACCTTCCAGTTACAAGTCAAGCTCGTATATCATTCATTCAGTCACTGGAACCCGACTCAAAGGCCTGTGAATTCTAACTTATGCGAATACGAGTCAAGTTTGACCATGGACTAGGTTTGAATCGTGGGGGTGGATTTGCACTGCTGATGGGTGAGTCCGAAAATAAGGATGAAACAGCTAGCTGTCCAGTACTCCTTGCTAGTTTTCAACAATGATCCTCTAAATGATATCAATCCGTGGTCAAATATTAACTGATACCCGTTGCCAGAATAGTTGGTTCTTGTGGTCTTATGGATAATGCCTTGACGTTTAAAACGATTGACCCAAGGTTCTAGTGTCAGTGAGAGAAACATCAGCCCTCACTGTGGAATGCAGATGCATCCAGATGACTTGTCTCAAATTGGAGGAAATGTCCATCCTGGAATCCACCAATAAAAATGACTACATATTATTCGATTTAACCCTAATATTTACGTTTTCTGGATAATCATATTTGTAGTATTCACATCTCTAACAAATATTCATATCGATTGATTTATTATCGAAAACCATATCGTGGTTGACTGTACGACTAGAAATGATGGTGGTCACTATTAGCTCTTCATTGTTCTATAGCTGGGTATAGATCACGATACTAAAAGTTTAGTAGAGATCGCTTTTTCGAACACTGATCTACCTTACTTTGGTCTAGACAGCTGTATAGTATCGTCAAACTTCTTGCATCGCATACCACTTATAGCCATCCGGTACATGGAGAAAAAACTAGACTGTGTAAACACATTTTATTATTGCTGAGTAGTAGTTGAGTAAGTTGGTAACACTTTCAACTGTTTTTTCGAATTCATCATGGTTACATTTCTCAGGACTATGCCACACCAACACCCACCATCCACCCCAACAATAAAGCAACCCAACTTATATTTTTTCTAGTCTGAAATATGTCAATGGGCGTTTTACAAATAGTCCACAACATTTAGACATTTTGCAATATGATAATTCAATACAATATTTCGATAATTCTACATCAGTTTAAGGCGTAGACGAAAATATTGATTGAAAGTATTTGTCCAGTTCAATTTTGATATTTTCCCAACGGTTGATTGGTTGGTCCGAAATGTTCAACCTCTGTTGTAGTACCAAGGAAAATCTAAGACAGGAAGTGAGGCATATAAGAGAAGCTTTGAAACTTAATAATTACCCTGATAAATTAGTCAGAAAGTATGTAGGGAAATGTAAAAATAAAATAAATAATAATAGTAGTGATAGTGATGATAATAATAATAATATTGATGACGACATGCATGTCAAACATGCACAAGATATGACAACACCAACAATAAGGAATCTAAATCATCAGTAGTAATTCCATACAAGGAAGGAACCTCGGAAACCTTACGCAGAATTCTTAACAAAGCAGGAGTAAAAGTCGGCATTCAAACCCACAAACTCAATTAGAAACAAGCTTTGTCGGTTAAAGGATCCTGTGGAGCCTTTAAAACAAAACAATTTAGTTTATCTAATACCCTGCCTCCAATGATTGTCAAGTCAAATGCATAGGTCAAACTAGTAGAACAGGGGCAGTCAGGATAGCGGAGCATAAAAACCTAGCAAAATCTAGATTAGTTGACCCGAATAAGATAAGAAATCTGGAGAATAGTTCAGCTATATCACTCACTACATGCAATTACACACCACCATACAATAGGATGGATGGGATAAGATGACTACAGTTTTAAAATCTAATGTCACAGGGTGGAGGGAGAGATTGATAACAGAAGCTCGAATCATAATCGTTTAATAGGAATGATTCAACACCTGTCCACCCGGACATCTGGAAAATTCTACTACCCCTACGACGACAAATAGGAGAGAACAAAGAAAACTATAAATCTCAAGTTTCGAAGTTGTGTGATTATAATTGATGACATGATTATGAACAATAATCAGGTGTGTTCGAAACTTCGTCATCCAGTAAATAATACTGTGTCATCACTGTGTGATATATCTAATAAACAAACTAATATAGAATCTGTTGTGATATGTCGACCTCTAGTATGGAGAGGAAAATCAAAACCGAATTCATAAGAACAAAAAAAATAACTGGCACATCGCCCCCATCCGTTGCACAAGAGGTGGTAGTGTAGCTGCCGCGGCCCATATAGTCTAGTGGATAACACGGTTTGGCGTTTGAAATGATGGGTACTATACTGGGCTCGAGTCTCAGAGGGGGAACACCATCACTGACTCACTGGGGAATGCAAGTACATCCAGCTGACCAACGAGTCCCAAATAGGAGGAAATTTAGCACATCCTAGATTCCACTGCTAGCCATCATCTGCCGAATTACTTTAAATTGATTGAAACTGTTTATATAGAAGTTGGGCAGTGTTTTGTTTTTTCGTAAAAAGCCGTATTAATGCTCATAATCCCTTTTAGAGATAATATTGATTTTTCTAGACTAGACACATGGCACTGGTTAGTGTCCAATCAAAGTATCTAATACACTCCTACAGCAGGTCAATCGCGAACCCGGATGGCTCAATGGCAACGTCTCTGACTGTAGCACTGGGTGACACGAGTTCGAATCTCACAAGAGACATGAATTCCTTCAAGATTGCAGATACGTCTTTCTGCCGATTGTCTCCAACCACGAAGGGCACTTAAAACAAACTACAGACTTTCATCAAGAGCTGTCTTCACTCAATACTCAAGGTCAGATGACCAGAAGGGATCAGCCACAGGGATGGATCTCTGGGAGCGAACCAACCCAGCAGGAACCGATTGTGCAACAAATATGCAGGAAGAAATGGAGGTGGATTGGCCATATTCTGAGAAAACCATCAAGTGACATCACACGCCAGGCCATTGCTCGAGTGGAACCCGAACGGGAAGCGGCGAGTTGGTCGTCAGTGGAGGGTGACATGGAGGAGGTCATGTGAAGAGGAGATGAAAGCATGTGGGCAGACGTGGAGCCAGGGATGAAAACGTTGGCATAGAACCGAACGCAATGGAGACGTGCGGCTGAAGCCCTATGTTCCTCTGAGAATTAAAGAAAATAATAATCTAATAATAATAACAGTTCATAGTTCACCGAGATGGCGAGCAACCTAGTAGTGGTATGGTGGCCATATTGCAAACATGACTGATAGAATTCAGTCTGCACCGGAAACAAATATCTATACACATGACACCAGTTAGTGTATATAATCAATATATATATTGATTTTTCTGTTAGATGTTACTTTAATTCCTTTTCTGATTTAATTTTTTTCTTTCTATTTTTGTCATTTTCTGTCGTTTCAATGTGAAATCCAGTGAATATAATCCAGTGAAACCAGGTGGACATAAATCTAGATCTAGAGATAATATTGTCATTGATACAAGTGATTTCTCTGATTCTTGTTCCGATTTCGAGAATGATGAAGTGCATAGCCAACCGATTATTCAACCACCGACAGAAGAAGTAACACCGTCAACAGCAATACAAATGAATTCACTGCCTAATAATAATGAAAATATAGCTTATGCAACAACCTCTGTATTAAATGGCCTGCCGAATTCAATTCCATCCCAATATCCGCCTTCTCTTTCTGATATAGCATCATTACCGTCTCATCATCCGTCTTTCGATACTCAAGGCGCAACTTCATCATCAAGTAAAGATAAGTTGTCAATTCCATTGCATTATTTTGCAGCAATGGCAAAAACATCAGTAGCCATTGATAATAATGGTAATAATAATAATAATACCAATGGGAAATATTTAAAAAATGAAGGCAAGTCATGCAGTAGTGCACCTTTAGCAGAACCAGAAACAGCTTCTACAGTGACTTCGTCGACTTCATCTCGACCAACATCGACATCGTCTTCTTTAAATGGTCAAATACTGCCTTCGGTGAAACAAAATCTAGCAGCTGTTAAATCTAACAATAACACTAAATACCATTCAGTGAATGGGAATGCTGCCTATAATTGTGTAAATGATTCTAATCATAATGATAAGGATTCTACAGCTGCTCATACATTCATGTATTCACATATGAATTCTTCCTACAATCATCATCAACAACATTCAGAGGGGAAGAGCTCACATCAAATTTTATATGATCAACATAAAAACATGTTGAAAAGGCATGAACAACAAAGGCTTTGGCTTTTACAACAAGATGGTGGTCAGCAGCAGCAGCAGCAGAAGGAACAGTCGTTACAACAACAACACCAGCAGCAGCAACAACATCGGTCATCTCGAGCACCAGATAACAGTGATACAAGCTCTACACTATCTGTTAGTTATCATAGTAATAGTAGCAGTAGTAATAATAATAATAATAATCGAGATAAGAATTCATCCGGAAAAGAATCATCACAGATTGTTGTTATTGGTGATTGTACTGCTTTATATTCTTTTACAGGTAAGATAACTTATTTCTAGTTGTTTTTTTTTGTTTTTTTTTTTCAAATGTATGTTACCTATGCCAAGCTTAGCACCCTCTTTGAATAGGCAGGGTCAGTGGAAATAGGATGAAGTTGGAAAAAAAACTAAAAGTTGTGATCGGAGTGTTCACTTGAGCCTCCTCGTTGAAGTGTGAGTTAGTTACTTGTCCAGGAACATTAAAACGTCCAAACATTAGTGACCAGTGACACTTTTGATACATAGCTCTGACAACGAAGAGGTTCTTTTCGGCGGATACATTTTCCACTTTATCTGTACACTCACATTTGTGCACAATTTTACACGAAAGACGGTAATAACAAAAGTGATGATGAGTTGTCATAATCATGCTTGCTAGTATTGATCTATGTGCGTCAGTGACACAACGATAGAATGCTCGCCGACCACGCTTCATGTGGTCCCAGGGTTCGATCCACGGCCGACGACGCATTCCTTTACGGTCGCTAAGTCAGTAAGAAGACTGGTAAAGAGGGAAGGTTGGGCATGAGGCTGGCTAGCAACCTCATCCCGTAAAAATAAACACCACTGCTACCTAAACTTCAAAGCTTTAGATTGAAGCCCTATGTTCCATTGGGAGTGTAATGGAATAAAAATAAAGGTATTAATTCATACATAAGAAGAATTGAACAGGAGTATTAGAGTTACTTAATAAGAGGAATAATTCAATTAATGAACTGTAGTCAGGAAGCACATAGAAACGAAGGCGAATATGGAATTATGTAAGTTTGTAAAGAAATACAAGAGTTATAGTGAGTTAATGAGCAAACAAACGAAATTAAGTCACAAGAGTTATTTTGTAGTAATTTGTTTTGATATCATATAGAGAACCATCGAAAACTAACAGGGAGTACTGGATAGCTAGCTGTTTCGTCCTAGTTTGGTAGTCATTGGGAGTACCCACCCACCACCAGGGTTCGAACCCAGGACCTTCCGGTTACAAGGGAAGATCGTAGATCATTCAATCAGCCACTGGGAGCCGACTCTTAAAAATTAATCGGATGCTTGCTATTGACTGGCTACAGGACGAAGTTGCATGGAGGGGGTTTTGGGGAGAAGTCGTAACCAGTGGGGTCTCTCCGGTCGGGATTGAGACCACATACTCGCTGGTGACATTGGCTGATAGTCTCGCAAAAATCATGAATTGGTAAAAGTTAGAATTGATGGACCATTGAATCGAGTCCCAGTGACTGAATAGCCTACGAGCTTGGCTTGTAACCGGAAGACGGTGGGTGCGTACTGATGACGAGTTCGAAACTAGGACGAAACAGCTATCCTGTATCCCCTGGTTTACAGTGATCCTCTGGTTGCTATCACTCTGTGAATTAACTTAACGAAGGCGTATTGTCATTAGTAGACTGTGCTTCACTTATTTAGATTACTTTGAAGGGTGGATTTGTTGACATAGAATAATCACTCCTTATAGAGAGCCATGTTCTATTATCATGGTAACAATCTTGTTGTTTTCTACCACCAGCTTGATTTTTTTTATTTTGTAACTTTTGTATTTCTTCTTTCGAATGTCTACATAGTATCACATTTTCTTTCATTTCTGTGTGAATCTTGATTACAACTCATCCATTAAACTAATTCGTCTTATTACGTAATTCCAACGCACTTATTCAACTCATAATTTCGGTTACTACCCTCTTTCATGGAAGATTTAGATATGATCCTGTCGATTAATAGGAAGGTAGACTAATCTGTGACTAGAGTCTTTATCATAGAATATTTGGATTTACAATCCTAAGGAATACAAAAAGCCAATGCTTTGGTAGTTTTAGTGATTTCCAAATTCCTGTTTACGCATTTAGAAAAAACAACAGATTGAGCGAAGAAATATGCATTCCTTTTCAATTAGTTCCTCATCATCGGCTGGCTGGCTGGCTCTACACTAATATATAGTTGCTTTTTACATCAAAATTGTTTTTACCAATCAAGTGGTTATTTTAGTTAGTCAGTTTTAGGTATAGGCGGGGTGGGTGGGTGAAATTACGAGGTTAAAGGTCATCAAAACAATTAACTAATAGATGTTAGTAACAAGATATCTAAGTTTTGAAGGAGGGAAGGGTGAAAATTAATTAATTATGGAATTCAAGATAAGTTGATTCTTAGGCGTTAGCAACAAGTTATTACATAATCAAGAAATTTTCAAAATAGCAATGATGACTAAGAAGAATAGGATGACTCAGAAGAATTACGTAAAATACAAACAAATTAATAGAATTAGCTAGAATTGTAAAATTGTAAAAATTAACAAAGTCAAAAGATAGTTACAAGGGGAGGGGAAAGTATCGTTTTTAAAAACTTAATGAGTACGTGCTGCGTATGCCTAACCATCGCCTCCCCGACGACGGGCATTACTAGCTGATATAGGTGTGGGTTGGAAAAGAGTAAGTGGTGGCCAAACAAAACATGGCCTCATCAATCCATGAAATCCTTACAGATAGTTAAATAATTGAAAAAAATGGAAGTCAGGAATTAGTTTTTCTTTACTATTACATATTATGTAGTTGGCCATGGCAAAGAAAGGGGCTGTACAAATTTCTTTTGAACGCACACACAGATTTGGCTTGTTCAGATGAATTCCGATTGCCTCTGCTGTATGTAAAAGTCGTGCTCGTAGACCATGCGATGAGAGGTTGGGTAATATACGATAAATAACTTTAAAAGCTTTGTTAGAGTCAAATTGATGTCCAGTATTGACGAGATGAGCTAGTATTGAGCTGTGTATAGCTTTATTCGGACCTTTTTCGCCAAACCAAGATGAGAGGTGTTCAGAAATTCGACAATGAACTCCCTTGATCGTACACCCAATGTAACTAGCTCCGCACGGGCAGTTAAACTGAAAAATACACATGGAAAAGGCGAAACAGGGCAGTCTGTCTTTATTTCTTGAACTAAGTATTGGTTGGCTAGTAAATATACAGCATGGTTTAGCTGCGTTGAGAATTGTATATAAATGCGATTGTGTGCAGTAAAGGAATGATTGCGTAAAAGAGACTCTTCGCTGAGTGAGCTACTTGATTTTTTTTCATTAATGCCTGGATGGGGATTATTCATGACTTGTCGACAACCAACTGTGTATTATACTTCAGATGTATTCCCTATTCATCTTATTGTTTCTCTTTTTGAAGTATCGTTACACACTAATTCTCTCCTTTGTCCGCTTTCCCAAAGTGTATGATAATTTGAACTGATGCACTTTTGGACGAAGCTCGTCTTCTTCTTTTCTTTTATGCATCTGACTGTCTTCATCATTTAATGAGTGTGTTTTCGTGTTTATTGGTTTCTTGGTTATTTTTGTCTTCTTTGAACAAGTAGTTTTCCCCAAGGGTATACATTCACCAGAAATCACATGTTAAAGCTGTAAATATTATTATTGCTTTCAACAGGTTTCAGTGTCGTCGAGTTGGCGACATTTTATGCGGATTAGTTTTTCTTTTGCTTAATTAGTGCATAGATAGAGAATAAATAAAAGCTGCTAAGTGTATGTTCGTCTCTGTTAATGGTGGCTTTTGGGCAGATGGCTTTATTTGTCCTTTTAGGAGCCATAATGGTAGGTGGCAATAATCTCCTGTTTTTCGGCAAATTTTAACCTTTTTTTAAATTTAATATAGAATCAGATGGCACCGGATAGTTGCTTTATTCTAATATGATACTCTTATGTAATGTACACACACACACATGTCGTAGGACCGTTAGGATACGCGATGATAACGTCAAATTTACAGGGACTCAACGTCTTATGATTGACAACTTCTACCAATTTGCAGTTTAGATTCTCCAATATCTACTGTCATCCCATAAGATCTACTAAGATAAAGGAATCAGTTAGTATGGTGGAGTACTTTATAGTTTAGATCTACGTGTTTCTGCGATATAATTTCACTTTGGAAAATATTTAGACTCTAATGAGTACTGTTTAGGCTTCAACTAGAGTTTTTTTGTTGATTGGACACTAGTAACTAGTGACACGTCACACTTGTCCTTTTGTAACAGCAGAAGACAAGGGCCAGACAACAGATCGTTTATTAAGGAAATCAAAGCATATTTATATATTTTCATGTACATTATTATAGATTAATTAAGCAAATAAACACAGTCTTCTGATTGGTTGTTTCCCACTGAAAGTTAATCTTTCATCTCTTTGTGACTGTTTCTTGAATGTCAGATCATCTATATGTTAACTGTATCCGCCTACGCAAAGTTTGCTGTGGTCGGTTTTGAATCAGACTTTGTTCACATTTTCTCACGACAAATTTTGGGAACGTAAACATTAACGTAAATTACTGTCTACCAATTTGGCTAGTAGACAGCTCTCACCACACTTTGTTTGGTGCAGACTTAATTCTATCAGTCAGTCAGGTTTACAATGTGGCCACCATTCTAGGTAGCTCGCCATCACGGTGCACATTGATTTGATGATATTGGGTTGTTGGTTTATTTATTTTATTCTTTTACGTTCTGAGTGGAGTATATGGCTCCAAGCTTGGACTTTGAAGTTTCGGTAGTAGTGTGGTTTATTTTTATGGATTGGGGTGGCTAGTCCCACGCCTAACCTTTCTTCTTTACTGGTTTTATTACCAATTTAGCGAGGTAAAGAAGTGCGTCGGCTGGGAATCGAACCCTGGGGACGACATGTGGCGTGATTGGCGAGTGTTCTACCATTGAAATATCCCTAACTTTTCTCCGACCTAGTCCAACATCATCTAACATTGCTCATCGAGGAAGGAAGTGGTTCAGCATGCGTCACACATGTCCTAACCATGTCAATCGATGTAGCTTGATGTAACTTGATCGTCTGACTTACCCTTCTTACCTAACAATGTACGCCTAACCTCAATACTACTCACCATACTATTCCACTTAACACGTGAGATAGACACACACACGCCTTAGATAAATATTTATAACTAGAATAGCTTGGTGTTGTATAACTGTGGCATTGGGTGGTGATGC